AAAAACATCCATTTATGCCTAAGGAAATCAAGGAGCTGGCTAGTTCGATCTCAGGGAGGCAAGAGCCAATATAGATTTTTCTGTCTAAAATTTTTTCATCCAACACTACTGGTTTGAGTTCTTCTGTTGCCTCTCCTCTTTCCAATGTGATACCATCCTTGGGGGGCGAGCATTTCCACTTGTAGGGCCTCTTGAGGTTTTTTGGTTCTCATAGAAGCCACATAGCACTCCCTAACAACAACTTGGTCTCCTTTGATTTCTTCAATCCCACATGAAGTTGAGAAACAAAGAATGAGGAAATAAGTGGACGGCACTGCCCTTAAGGTATTAAGTGAAGGGAATCCAAGGATGATGTTATAGGTAGAAGGGCAATCCAACACCATGAAGTTCAATATCTGGTGGAGCTTTTAGGTGTTGTTCCCGCTACAACTGGTAGGGTGATGGAACCTAAGGGATATGTCTTTTCCCCCAAAAATCCAATAAGGGGTATCTTGAAGGGTTGTAGTCTCTCTCTACCAAGATGGAGGCCATCATAGGCTGGTGCGAATAGGATATCGATAGAGCTGGCATTGTCTACTAGGATCCTATTAACTTGGTAGTTGGAAACCATCATGGTTAGCACCAACGGATCATCATGGGGGTTATGGATCCCCTCCAGAACTTTATCTGAGAATAGGATGACACTCTCTTTCACCCTGTCTGTGTATCTTTAACAGGTGAGGGTCATCAAACTTCACATGTCTGGCTTTATTGACACGTGCCCTCCTGGCAAAGTTGGAGTCACCTCCTCCTAACCCTCCAGAGATCATCTAGATTTCTCCCAAGTATTGTTGGTGCTCCATGTCATCCTAGTTCCAGCCAAGTAGTGGGGTCTATCCTCTACCGGCCACGTATTGCCGCAACTGGTTATGATGTATGAGGTCCTCAATCTTCCTTTTGAGTTCAAAATAGACATCAATATCATGGCCATGATCGCGATGGAACCGATAGTACTTGTTTAGGTTCCTACGATTTGGGGCGAACTTTATTTTCTCTGGCCAGCGTATCACATGATCATCCTGGATTTGGAGCAAAATATGCTCAATTGAAGCATTTAGCGGTGTGAAGGCTTGTCGATCCCTCAAAGGTGCAGGACTGAGACAGTCCTTGACTGACATTCTCTCTGTCCTCTTTTTCTTCTTCTTTGTTTCTCTCCTATTTTCATGGGGCTCCTTCCTCTTCCCCCCTCCGTGGGAGGACTCACCTAACCTTGGTAATGTTCTTAGCATTCATATATTTCTAGGCCTTGGATAACAACTCAGGCATGCTTGCTAGTGGTTTTTTTCAAGACTGAAAACATAAAGCTAGATGAGTGCAAGCTTGTAATAAAGGCAGCCACGGTGACCTTGTCATCTGGCTCTTCAATTTGGATGGCCTCATCTTTAAATCGAGTCAAGTAGCTCCTTAAGTTTTCATCCTAATCCTACTTGATGCTAAGTAGGTGGGTGACTGGCTTCTAATGTCGGTGTCCCCTAATGAAGTGGGAGACGAAAGATTTGCTTAGTTTAGCAAAAAAATTAAAAGAAGATGGTTTAAGTTTAGCAAACCACTGGCGTGTATATCCCTTGAGAGTGATCAGGAAGGCTCTACACATTATCTCGTCTAGTATATTATGTAGTTGCATGAGGGATTTGTACGTGTCAAGATGGTTGAGTGGATCTTTCGAATCGTTAAAAGTTTCCACAGTGGGCATTTTAAACTTCGAGGGGAGAGGGTAGTTGACCACATCAGCCATGAATGGAGTGTCAGTGTGCCTCACCAATTAATCCACTTTTTTTGGCGCCCACGCCTTGATGGCATTGAAGACGTCACACAACTGATTCTATAACTCCTTGATTTTTTTTCATCCCATTGGTTTGTGACACCTTCTATTGGATCGTTATAATAGCTTTCATGATCCACATACTAGTTTTTTCCCTCATTCTCCTACATTGGAGGGTCATCAGCGTGTGATAACGGAGCCGATGCATGAGGTGGATGAGCTGGGGGTGCTTGTGCGTTAAGTAGGGATTCCTTGGCACTGCGGGGTGCCTTAGTGACCTGAGTGTACTGGCTGAGGCGCTTCTGCTCCAGTGGGTTAGGGCACGACTCTTCCTACAACGAGCATCAACTGGAGAATTTTCTCCAATAGTTATTGTTTGACCACGAGATTTGCCACAACGATGGGTTCTGCTAGCAAATACAGGACCTCATCCCGATGCGCTGGATCAATATCCTCCACTTGATGATTCATTGACCTAGTTATAATAGCCACGGAGAAAGTAGGAGCAAATAGATGGTAGTAGAAAATTTATTTGTTTCCCACAGACGACACTAAACTGATGATGCACAAAGTTGATTATTCATGATCAAATCAGTCAAGTGTGTATTAAAAAACAATTAATAATGAGAAGAAAAGATTGGGTGGTTGGGTCTGGGTGACCTAACCACTGAAGGCAACAAAAGTGGCTAGTGAACTTTATTAATAAGAGAGTATATGGTAGTAGGGGAGAGTGAGAGAGAGCAAGAGTACGCTCAAGGTGTAGTAGTGTGTGTCCCTTATGTAAAGGGTTTACAATTTATAGGCACAGAGTCCTAGCTGTGGCAGTGATGTGAAAGTCAAGCTATAAATTTACTAGTGAAGATAGCTATAATTGGGGATAGACACTATCTTGGAGTAATAGTTATCCCTATGATTTTTCTCCTATGTGCATTGACTCTTCCTGGACTTTTGAGCTTTGGACTGGAATACAAATCATTAGCTAAGCCTGACCTCCCTCTTGATGATTTGGGCTCACCCATAAACTGGCCCTAGGCCTAGTCGGATCTAGGCTCACCATTATTTAACTAGGCTCACCTTTTGCTTCATATTAATGAGAAAAATTGAAATGAGGGTGGAAAATTTTAAAATTTTCAGCATAGTATCCCCTAAAAATATGATATTACAAATATATCAACCTGTCTACAAAATTTCATAATCATACTCAAACAAAGCCATTTGCATGTTTAAACCCAATTATCTTGGCTAAACATAGTTATTTATTTGCTCCCAATAAATATCCTAATATTAACCATAGTCCTACATAAACATAAATATTTACCAATTACTAAAAAAATATGATGATAATAATCAAGGTCCTACCTATTTACAACTATATACCAACTGTTATAGAAAAACATAATAATATGAACACATACTTCTGCCTAAACACAACTATTTACCAACCACAACAACAATATTAACGTAGAATGACCACTAAACTTAATTATATAGTCACTTGCAAAAATATGTCATTTTGTAATGTAGTTTACCAAAATTGGCCATCCATCATTGGGTCATCAAACTTTCTATTCAGCATGACCTTGAATGTCTTTCCTTCAACACAGATACAAAAATCTATTATTTACAAAAACAATAAAATTAGTACACTACGTGAATTATAAAAACAATAAAAAACAAAATTAGTCACCTTATTCGTACAATCCCATTGTCAAAACTCATTTGTATTTATTCTTTTCAACTCTCGCACTTTTTCATCCCAATTCTACAAAGATTGAATCAAATCGTAAATGATAAAATTGTATTATTATAATATTTGTCATCAGTATAAATAATCTTGCACTTCTTCATCCCAATCCTATAAAGATTGAATCAAATCATAAAGATAAATTTTATTATTAAAATGTTGTCATTGAATAAATACCGCTTAGCCCGTTAAAGCTAGCGGTATTTATACAATGATTTCTTCTATGCGCGTGCAATGCTGTGGGGGTGTGCGATGTTTGTGGGTGCGTGTGCTGGGCTCATTTGGTAGACGTATTATGAGGGAATTTAATATTGGATTGTATTATTTTTTAGTTAATTGGACCTAATACTTTGTTTGGTAAGTAAATTTGACACCGTATTAATTTCAAAAATGTATACTTATCGTATCCTTATCGTATATTTTGTATACGTTAAACCTGTATTATGGAGGTATTTTAATACCACTAAAAGATGTGGTATTATAATCTAACTCAAACGTATTATTTTGCGCATTTACCATTATAACCCTCTAACTGATAAAATCAAAATGTCATCAATGTAACAAACACTGATTTATGGTATTTTTGTTAATGCAAGATTAATACGATAAAATAATTCCTTAACCAAACAACCAATTGGATTAAATAATTACTATCCAACGTTTATGTTGTGTATTACCAAACACTAGATAAAATTATGTATTATTCTAATACCATATTTAGTCTTGTCTTTTGTTCTTCTATATTGTATTAGACCAGATTATTTTATCTAATCCATCCATTTCTAATACGGCAGTCAAACGAGCCCTATGTGTTTTATGTGTGGGTGTATTTGTTGTGTTGCAGGGAAGAGAAAAAGAAAGCGAAGAGAGGCGGGGGAGAGGAGACTAATTGGATTTGTCAAATCGTCAGAGAAAGAGAGAGAGATGTAGGCTTTTTTTTGACTTTTTTTTCAGGAACCAAAAGCACGGCATTTTTTAAGCAAACCAAGTAGAATACGGAAATTCAATAATGATAAAAAAAAATTTGGAATTCAATAAAATAATTTATCCCACTTAAGTTCAAGAGACCAACTAACAAAGTACCAAAAAAATCAAAAAAAAAAATTGAAATAACTGATTACACGTTTAAAAGATTTAACTAGCTACTTACCCAAGAAAAAAGAATATTTACCTAGCAAGCCCCCATAAAAAGCCAAGAGGAAGCAATCCAAATTTTTATCCATTCATTATCAACTATATTATGAAACCCTCCTTGAAGCAAAGTGTACCTATCATACATGACCAATTAAATATTTAATATATTTAATACATGCTCAATTAAAAAGAATACATAATTCATTATTACATGGAATCAATTCAAATTCACAAAAGAGGGAGAAATACCTAGGAGGAGGAGGGGTTTCATGTGTATGTGTGGTTGTGGATCTGTGTATTGTGTGATGTATGGTGTGTGTGTGTGTGTGTGTGTGTGAAGACAAAGAGAGGTTGTTAATAAAAAAGTAGACAGAGATAGGAAGATAGATCAAGAGATAGAAGACCTTGAAAGCCTTTTATATTGCACAACCCAAAGCAACCAAAACCTAAAAATTGCATAAGCATCAAATGTCAATCCAATAGCAAAATAAAATTAAAATCAATGGTAGAATTTACGAGATTTCACTTAGGCATTTTAACAAACAAACACTTCATGAACAATTTGACTCTGTTTTGGAGCATACATTCGTAAACATAAGTACAAACGAATATACTTAGTAGTAAAAATATATTTTCTCTACTTAATTTTACCCCACATAAATCATATATTTAACAAAAAACTGAAATTTTATGAGATGATGAATGTCCCAGACTTTTATAGCTATATATATTATATATATAATATAAAAACACAGCGGCCTTCAACAAGCCAATCGGACGGTCGCAATTCATTTCATCCAACGGCCTTTAGTAATCTTTCATTTCCCCCCAAATTTAACTCTTTTTCACTCATTATTTTTCAAAATCAACCCAACCTCAATCACTTCTATTTGTCAGAGCTGCAGCCTCCCCTACATCCCCTACATCGCTGGTGGTCTCTCTCAAGCCATGTCTCTCAAACAGTCAATCCTCTCTCTCTCTCTCGCCCCAGCGACACCACCGGCGACTCCACAAGCCAGGTACTCATCTCTCTCTATCTCTGTGTACTTTTGTCTTCTTTCTCTTTCTCTTTTCCCTCTGGCGATCTTTCCCTCAAACCGTCAGTTCTCTCTCTCTCTCTATCTCTGTTACTTTTGTCTTCCTCTTTCTCTTATTCCCTTGTCTCTGTTCCTATCCTTCCTCTACCTTCCTCCCCTCTCTCTCTCTGTGACACTCCACCTAACCTTGCCATAGCAACATCGTCTCCACAACCCCAACCCAACCCCATAGCCCAATCTCCCTTTGCCATCACCACCGTATCCCATCAAAGGCTCAACGTCATTACCACTGAGCCTAACCTCCATCCCTTATTTCCAATCTATAGTCACAACTATGGCCCCATGGATGTTCGATGAAATGTCTCAATGACTGTCTTATATCTATTCTTTTTAATTTCTCTCTTTGGATTTAATTAGATGGTTCAATGATAAACATTTTGAATATGAATTTCAATAGTGTTGTTTTCAAGGAATTTTTTTTTTTGTTAGTGCTACGACATCATAAGTGCATTGATTTATATGGCATTGTCATTGTTGGGCTTTACTTTACCACAACCACTACTATTCTCTCTCTCCTCGATGGAATGTGATTTTTTCTTTTTCAAAGTTATGGTTTCAAGTAAAGTTTTCATGATTCCATGTTTTCATGAAAATATTCTCTTAAATTAATCTCATGTTTTTTCCTCATGTCATTGACGCTAATGAAATTGTTAGTTTGTGACGTTGATATTTTGTGTTGGATTTGCCTTTGTCTTATGTCATTGGCTTTGTGTTTTTTTCTGTTCACCATTGATTATATACTTTCTCATTCCCTATGGGTACACCTGGATTCCAATCTATAATATAAAACAGGACAGGTTCAACAACTTGATCCTACGGTCTCAAATTCATTCATCCAACGGTCAAGAAATTACAATTTTTTTCCTTAATATTCCCCCCAATAAGTTAACGATTACGATTGGTTTTGGAATATATCTTACGGTCGCAAATTCATTCATCCAATGGTCAAGAAATTAACATTTTTTTCCTTAATATTTTTCCTCCCTACTGGTCAATGATTACGACTGATCTCGGAATACATGATTTTCTCTTACATAATAATTAAATGGGTCAAATTTGCCATTAATATCATCTGTGTAGTGAATATTTTGAATTTGTATAAGATACAATAATAACATTTTGATTAAAAAAAGCTCATGAATTTAAGATATAACAAAAACAAGGTCTCTGCTTAACACATTTATATTGAATATAACTAATTTTAATTTTATTTATTTAATTAATTATCTCAAACTAGAATGTCCTATGCATATCTTGAATAAAAAATTTGAGACTAATTTTTTTTATATCTTAAGGAAACTCAACGCTAATATATTCTTTTAAATTAATAATTTTGTAATAGCTTATACTAATTAAAAAAATGATATTTGTAGATCTTTTTTTGATAGAAAATATTTTGGCGATTTTTGATAAATTAAATTTTTAGTTTGTATTAAATTTAACTCAATTTTGATTACATGTATATAAATTAACATTTTTAAGTCAATTTTATCATATTTCGTGGATTTATCTATAATATCCATAATATAAAATATGGTGGCTTCAACAGGCCTATCCTACGGTCTAAAATTCATTCATCCAACGGCCACTATCTCTTTCAAAATCATTCATATTAAATTTTACCCTCCTCTTCTCACTCTTCACTCTCTCTCTCTAGCAATGGCAGAGGAGAAAGGGCCTGGGGCCACCTTGAAAAAATATATATTTTTTTAGTTATATAAGTTTTATATATTTTTTGGATTAATTGGGTCCATTGCAATGATTTATGAAAAACAAAATTAATTAGGTTAAACAAGTTGGGTACTCGAACAAAAAAACAAAAACAAAAAGTTATATCAATCTCTTAAAATTAGCAAACTAAAATTGATTATTTAGAGTATTGATACGATTTGTTGAAACCTTATTTGGTTCAAAAATTATGGAATACATAGCCAAATGAGTAAAATACGGAATTTGTAATTAAAAAAAAATTATAGAAGATTGTTTTTATTTGTGTCAAATATATATCTATAATGTAAAACAGGGGCGGCTTCTACAAGTTCATCCTATGGTCTCAAATTCATTGATCCAACGATCAACAAATTACCATTTTTTCCTTAATATTTTTCCTCCTAACCGGTCAACGATTACAGCTGATTTTGAAACACATTTTACGGTCTCAAATTTATTTATCCAATGGTCAAAAAATTATCATTTTTTCCTTAATATTTTACCTCCCAACCAGTCAAAGATTACGTTTGACTTAGATAACAAGATTTTCTTTAACATAATAATTAAATGGTTTAAATTTGCCATTATATCAACTGTGTAGTGTAACATTTTAAATTTGTATAAGTGACAATGATAATATTTTGATTAAAAAAAATAATCAATTTAACAAATTAAAAAAATAATAAGGGCACTGCTTATGAAATTTATATTAAATATAATTAATTTTAATTTTATTTATTTAATTAACTATTTCAAACTAACATGTCTTACGATGGGTTTAAATAAATTCATCCAACGACCACCAACATCTCTCCCAATACCATTCATATTGAATTTTACTTTCCTCTTCTCACTCTTCACTCTGTTTCTCTAGCAGTGGCGGAGGGAAGAGGGGTCTGGGGGCACCCTGAAAAAAAAATAATTATTTTAATTATATATGTTTTATATATTTTTTTAGATTAGTTGGGCCCACTATAATGATTTATGAAAAATAAAATTAATTGGATCAAACAAGTTGGGTACTAGAACAAAAAAATAAAAACAAAAAGTTCATACCAAATCTCTTAAAATTAGAAAACTAAAATTGATTCCTTAGAGTATTGATATGATTTGTTGACGTCTCATTTGGTTCAAAAATTATAGAATATATAGCCAAAAATGAGTAAAATATAAAATTTAAAAAAAGATTAAAAATTATAGAATATTACTTTTATTGGTATCAAATAAATTATATTATTGATCCTTAATATATAGATGTTATCTTATTAATTTTTTTCAAATAGACCTTTTTTTATGTTTAATGAATTTTTAAGTATCAACTCTAATATAAAAAAATATAAATATATTACATTATTTTTATCTATTATACTTAAAGTGTGTCCATCTTAAATCATATTTTTGGCTCTGTCACTGCTCTTAGGGATCTTTACTCCTCACTTTTCTAAATTAATTGGTTGATTTATGTTGCATTGTGCCTTCAGGTACGGGTTACCCCTAGTATATATCTTTACTACTAATAAAAGTATCTTAAAATAAAAAATTTAGAATATCTATTTTACCCATATAAACAATTGCAAATATCACTTTATCCTTTCACAATTAATATCTAAATTACCTTCATATCTTCTTGTCTTTAAATCTTCAAATTATTTATAAAATCTCTTTTAATTTTCTATTCTTTACGTATAAATATCAATTTCTATAAAAAAAATTGATTGACTATATTACCTTTAAAAATATATGCATTATTATATTTTCAATAAAGTATCCAAATTTTTTTAAAAAACTCTATTAATCTAATATTACTCATTTTATATGCAAAGATAACATTAAGCCTACATATGCATATTTTTTTTTTATCGAAAAGTTTAACTCTTTCATTTCTAAGATAATAAATAATCATATATATAATTTTTTAAAATCAATTTATGTTATATCAGTATAATTCTTTAGTCACAATTACTTTTCTAAGTTATACTAAGATTTTAAGTAAAAATAGATATTGTAGTGTATTTTTAAGTAAAATTTGAATTTTTTAGAATTTTAATATACTTGATAATATATATTATCAAGTAGTATATTAAATCTTATCTCAATTGACCTAAGTAATTCCTAATTAGAGTAAGGTTTCAAAGTGATTAATATATTGACAATTACTTTTATTTTGTTCAAGGAATTATAAGTTGAATACTAATCAAATGAATATTAAAAAATTTAATTTCTCAAACATCACTAAAAAAATCAATCTCAATCACAAAATTCTACAAAAAATTGAACTTTAACTATTTCTTTTTTTATATTTTTTATGGTGAAAAACAAAGAATTTTGAAAACACACAAAATTTTCATAATCATATAATAGCATGAGCAATGAAAAATTAAGTTTAGTAAATTTAAAATGATATTTAATTCAGATATATATATATATATATATATATATATATATGTATATGTGTGTGTGTGTGTGTGTGTGTGTGTTTTATTAGTTTTTGTGTACGAAATACAATCATGTGGGTAGAGCAAGTGATGAAGGGCGATAACTTGAAAGCTGGTGCATTACTAGTTAACATAAAAGAAAAAATTAGTAGGTTCTTCGATATTTTAATAACCAACTTTCGAAGCAAAACCTTGTGACAAAAAATGCTTTTTATCAGTAGTAAACAGCTAAATAACCAGAAAAAAAGCCCATGGAAAAATCATAATGTCTCTATGAAAATATCAAACAAAAAATTGCAAGATTTTGAAATAATTTTATTTGGTTGCGAAAAAAAAGTCACTGATTCTACTTAGGTGACCCTAAAAAAGGCAAAACTACTTAACGCAGCAACATTGAACAAATATTCACAACAAACATGTCATAAAAAGTGATTCTAAAAGCCCACTTCAACTCAAACAAAAAAAAAAATTTCAGTATTTCTCCTTTTTTTTCTCTGCAATCTCTATAATATAAAATAGGACGACTTTAACATCTAACGGTCTCAAATTTATTCATCTAATAATCACTAACATCTCTTTAAAGATTATTCAAATTAAATTTAACTTTTTCTAAATGGTTCATATTTCATCTAATCTCATCTAACCGTTAAAAATTCATCGCATACACAAAAAAAAAAAAAAAATTCTTTTACATACTAACACTTACACAGTTACCCAAACGCCTTCTGCACGCTCCCTTCTCTCTCTCTTTTCTCCAGAAGACCCATCTTAGAGCTCCTCTCTCTATCTCTCTCCTTCTCGCTGCTTTGTCGTGGCTCAACCCACCGCCGATCAAGCAGTAGAACACACACACAAGCAGTAGACAACACCCGATGAAGTCCGGGTACCCCTCTCTCTCTCTCTCTCTCCAGTCGAACACACACACAATCACAAACACACGGCAGTATAGACACTTAAATACATTCTTCTACACAACTATAGCCACAAAAGGATGGGGCTTTCTATTATTTTGGTGTCACTGAGTTTCTATGAAATATGAATATCTTAATTTCTAAAGGTGTAGAAATTTGGGTTCTTGACTTTTTGGTATAAGTTAATGGATAAACCCATTATAAAATTGTTGTTTCAAGTTTATTGTGTGTTATGCTATTTTACGTTTTTATGATTTGAAAAAGAGGTGATATCATTTGACTTCAAAGAGCTATGTCTACACCTGCGAGGTGATTTTACTTGAGATGGTGACTGGCTGAAGTTACATGGGCAAATATTCGATAATTTTATGTGATGCTTGGTTTATGTGATGATTTTTTGCTGCTAATAACTATGGGTTCGGAGTTGCATCTTAGCATTAATTTTTCTGTTTTTATTGGAAAAAAGAGGTTTAGGGCATTTAGATTTAGTTTTTTTTTTTTTTTTTGCCATTTTATGTTGGGGTTTTCATGTTTCATACTGATAATTATTTGTTTGTAATTGGGTGAGTGTACAAAGTGATTTTAGATTTAGCATTGGTTTGTAAGGTTGTACTCTGCATCATTTGACCAGTAATAGTTGTTTCTTATTTGCTTTATTGATATTTTTCTTCATTTGTAATGGTAGCCACTGTCTTTGGGGAGCTATGGAGGTTGTGCACAGACGAGGGCAATATGGTGCAGAGAGATGGAGTGGCTCTTATGTGTAAGTGATTCCATGGTAGAGCTTGTGCCTTCCATACAACAATTCCCCCGTGGAGGCACATATGAAGTAATGGCAACAAGGCCGCGGTCAGATTTGTATATGAATCTCCCTGCACTCAAAAAGCTTGATGCTATGTTAATTAGTCCTCATAATGACATAAGGTATAATTGTCCCTGAGGCGGAAAATTATGATTATTATCCATTGGGTATGTCAGGTGGAAGGCCTTCAATTAGGCAGGAAGAGAAGTGGTGGCTCCCGAACCCAAAAGTTCCTCCAAAAGGGTTATCAGTGGATGCAAGGAAGAGGTTGCAGCAATGCAGGGACTGTACCAACCAGATACTGAAGGCAGCCTTGGCAATCAATAGCAATGTGCATGCTAAGATGGAGATTCCCAATGCTTACTTAGAAACTTTGCCCAAGGTATGGGTTTCAATGTTGGGTCTACAAATGCTATGAGATATAAACAAGCTGAGATCTAAATTTCCTGAAACACATCCATAGATACTACAACTGGTTTGGTTTTTTTAGATCTGATTGATGTCATTAGGTTAACAATGTGTTTTTAATGGTCTTTACTTTTCTTATCATTTATTACTGTAGAAAAGTTTTGTTAAATTTAAACCTTGTGGAATGTTGGCAGCTTGCTTGTGATGATTTTGTAGAGTTATGACTGCTTGTACTCATGGCGTTTGAGTTCAACATATGCTTCCCCCACTCTCATATGACATATCCTATTTTCCCTTTTTGACATACAGGTCATATATTTTGGTGTCTAATAGACCACAATAAAGCATTTTCCGATTTGTGAGTCAAGTTTGGGTATGAAAATGTCAACTACACTTTTAATTGATGGCATTTTACAACACAATCTTGCAAGCCAAATGGCACTTCCATTGCTGTTGTAATGTGTACTGTCTTATAGAAGTCAAAAAACAATGTATTTTCGGTTTGGATTATGCAATTTGGAGGTGCATGTTATCTTATGGAAGTCAAAAATCAAAGTAATTGTTTTTTATTTTTGAGGGAACAACCATTTCATGCCTTTTGTTTTAGATTGCTAACAGAAACCACTTCATACCTTTTCATGTGCTATCATTAACCCAATGTGACATATTTATATCGTTTGAGTTAGGAAAACACCAGTGTGGGGTATTGGTTATAAAAACTTAAAATTGTCACTTTAGCCTAGGATGCCACATCTTCCTTTTGTTTTAGATATTCTTTATTGGATTTTTTATCCATTGCATGTGCACATATACATGTTCATTGCAATTTTGACTTTTTGTTTATTTTTGCTTTGAATATCTAAAAGTTTTAATTAATTTTATTCGTTAAGTGTTGTTGTGGTTATGTTTGACTCATCATTTTCTAATTCATCGGAAGCCCAAGAGAGTATGTTTTTCTATCCTAGGTGCAAATATTTCATCCCTAAAATTGGTAGAATTTTTAAATGGTCGCAATTGAGCTGGCAGCATTAAGTTAAATGAGACATGCTCTGAATAACTTTTTTTACTGCCCTAATTTTTTAAGTGTTGATTCGTTTAGTGGGAGGCATCAATGGATAGTTCTACACTAACTTATTATATAGGTGGATACCAAGCTAATAAGGGTATATGTTTTATTTCCTCCATTTATAGATGGATGCCAATGTAAAATTATATTTTGTGTGATTTTATGCTAAGGAGTTGTGTTAAAAAAAAATGCAGGTTCCACTTCATACCTTTGTAAGTTCTTATTTGAATTTATATGAGTGAATATGAGTGAATGAACTTGGATCACACTGAGCATACACCCAACACCTCTCCATCTAATTCGATTTTGATTTCAAGGTCATTTTTTGATTTCAATGTCTGGATTGCAATTGAGATTCTGGCTTAATGCTAGATTTTTTGGATATATGTTGAATTAGTTCTCTATCATACCTTCATTAATATTTTGGATGAAATCATTGATTATATTTGTTGAAATAGTCGTGGTATTGATTCATGGGTTATTCTATTTGATAGGAATGTATTGTTGTGTTATTATTCATTTGGACCCTAATTGAATCCTTTTGGCTTGTGGATCTCGCACAATATAAACACGAGAACAGATCTCTCCCTTGGTGAACTCGAGTGAGTCAGTCGAGTGGTCAACCCTGCTGCTTGGAACAACCTGTGAGGTCCGGTGGTAACTTGGAACGGTAATGGGAGACCCTCGTGGATCAACGGAACGATACAGTAAGGCTGATGAAGGTTCCTAGAACAAAGAAAGACAAGTTAGAAGGGTGCCGGAGTATTTTTCGGCGTATCCCCTCCGACGATAAAGTCAGTTTTTGAGAGAGAGGAAGTAGAAAACACTGAGTATAATTTTTAGCAAAGGTTTCACCTTGTTTTTCATCTTGCCTTTTGTGAGGAGTATTTACACCTCAAATACTCATGATTGCTGTCAGTGTGGTTAGTAGGTGATCATTAGATACAGGCAACGTGCGCATTGATTCCTACGAGGAATGCCTTTTCTTTTAAATGTCTTTTCTTTTAATTGCTCGGGATCCCGAGCAACCAAGGCTGTGTCATTGGCCTGCCGACTGTTCAATGAGCTCCTCTCGGCAAGGATGTAATAAATGTCCAGCCTTAGAGACATTTATTACCTTTCACTTTCGAATCTTACCGCATTAAATGCTGTCTCATCAAAGGAATGGTGTAATTAAATGTTTGCTTTCCCAAGTCATACGTCAGCAAGGGCATCCGGTCTTTCTGTCTCTGATGTGACACAATATGCCACGCGTCCATTCCCAATTGGCTGTGTCCCCTGCCTTCTTGAGCCTTCTGACACCAATTGTGTAAGACGAGGTCATGATGACTAACCTAGCTTAACCTAGGCTAGTGACCTGTACATCAGTAGCCTCTACGAGAGCAGAGAATGCCATCCTGGATGGTACACCTCAGAACCGAGAAGGAGGTACATCTCAGAGCCGAGAGGGAGGTACATAGAGGGACCGATGTACCATATCCCCCCGACCGAGGGATACGTGTCGGTACGTAACGTACTGGATGTCATTGATCATTACAACCAGTACCTCGGGGGAGAGGGACTTGTGAACCGATGGGTACATGTCGTGATCACAATAACAAGAATTTAGTGACACCGAGGACACGTGTCTTCATCTTGGAGTATTTTTGGAAATGTTTTATCAACTGCCCCCCAGCCTTCGATCTTCTGACACCGAGGACACGCGTCGTAAAGAGACGAAGGGTTCTACAACAATCTCAACCGCTTCATCATTGCCTCTAGCCGCTTTCCCCTGCTTAGGACGTCGTGCGCATTAAATGCGCCTTTTTGTGATTCGCGCCCAATGATGGGATAGGTACTATATATAAATGGGCTTCCTCTCTTCTTTTCTCATTTCGTCATTCCGAACCTTCTCCAGAGAGCCCTTACCTGAAACTTCGCCGGAGATTCCTTTCCTTCCGTTGTCAACTGCCCAACCATTTCACCGGAGTCTTAAGGCCAGCAGACCCATCCTTGCTTCTGAACATTCTGGATGGAGTCGCTTCAAGTTTTTCAGAAAAAACTTCTTTTTACATTCTGGTGAGTCCCAGTATCTTCCCTCTCTTCGTCCTTCTGTCTCCTTTGGTTTTTCGATAACGGGAGGTGTTTTCTGGTTGGCATTTAGCGACCAATCCTCGGGAAGCCTCCTTGGGGATCTTCGTGGAAAAGACTCCCTCTATTTTTTATCACTTTTTGGAGATGCCTCGTCGTCGTCCTGTCCCTGAAAATCCTCAGGCCAGTTCTTCGAGGCCAGAGAAGTATAAAGTAAAAGAGGGCGAGCAAATTAATAGTTTTAGGGTCAAGTACAGCATCCCCCCATACGTAGACATAAAGGATTATGACTCGGCTGTGCATTTCTGTACCCTCGGGGTCGAGGATGAGATGCCCTTTTATACCAAAGTCGTCATAGAAGGCGGAATTAGGTTCCCTCTGCCCCTTCTACTCCTCCAGTTCCTCTCCCATTTCCATCTCTTCCCCAGGCAGTGTTGCCTTAATGTTTTCAGAATAATTGTGGGAGTCCTAGAGCTCAACAAGAGTTTCGGGATAAATGTTGGGCTGAACGATATCCTCTTTTGCTACTCCCTCTTGAGAGTCATGCCCCAACAAAACTTCTACCTCAAAGCCAGGGACCCTTCCATGTACCTCGTAACTCATCTTCCCGACTCGGACAAGGGGTACAAGGATGACCTACTCATCTTCAAGGGATCTTGGCAGAGGGGTGCCGGTCCCGAGTACAACGGCTTGTTATGCCCTTTGGAATGGAGAACGACAAGTACGTCGGCTTCTTCGGGTCTATTGTTTTGCTCTTGACATTTTTTTTGCAGAGTCCATAACTCACTCCCCTCTCTTTTTGTTTGTGTGCAGACATCTCCCCTCGGGAAACAGCTCATCCACCTCAGTCCTTGGTGAACTTTGCCGACCTAGTCACTGTTTGGAGATTTACTGGTGACAACGGGTTCGGTCGGGTTGCCCACATTCTCCTGAATTATACTCTCGGATATAAGAAATTTTCACAGCTTCCCCAGTCTTTCGAGCCTTCGCGGTGGTCTGAACTATTCGATCAGACGGTGAGGCAAGAGGACGAGGAGAACTTGGAGGAAGACCCTGACCGGGCTTCGGAGGCAGAAGTAGAGGGTGAAGTTAAAGAGCTCGGGGTCAGAGAGGACTTGGTTCCTTCGGACGCTGAGGTGGGGACTTCGGGGAGAGATTCGTTGCCGGACTTCCAAATCCTATAATCTCTAGACGCTGAGGACGCCCTCGAGATAGCTATGTCCAGCACGCCCCGCATTGATCTGGGATTCCTGAGGCAGAGGCAAGCCCTCGTTGCCGGACGTGGGTGTGGGTCAACAAGCGGCCCCCCACCTATAGGGACTAGCGCCACTCCACCTTCAAGGGTCGTTGGTCGGGGCCAAGTGCGCGACCGAGATCCTCAGGTCGAGGTGGAGAGGAGGATCAAACAAAGGCACGATGGCCTAGGCAGGGGATCCAGGGCTCCATCCGCTCAGCAGCAAAGCGGGAGAGGCCGTGAGTTACCTCCTCCTTCACAACAGCAACTACAGCAATAGAGGCAACAACAGCAACAACAGCAGGAGTAGACTCCCCCTCCCCTTCCTCAAACGGTGGAAGCCGCGGAGTGGAATTCTTGGGGCGATCGATCACATGAACCGAGTGATCAGGGTTGACGACTCCATTTTGCAGGACTCCCATGTTGCCAACGCAGTGGGTGAGACGTTGTACTCTATTCCGACATGGTGGCTCACAGGGGGAGATCAACGAACGTGTTGTTTCGCTCTATCATCAAGAATTCCCTGGTGGTAAGTTCATTATTGCTTCAGTCTTTCTAGCTGCTTTCCTTTTTATCGACATGCACTTTCCTTTGTAGGCCACCCAACAAATTTTTATAATAGCGGCGCGGTACCATGGGGCTAGGATGGACCTCCATCGGGCTCGAGAGTAGAAGGAAGAAGCCGAGGGAGCCCTCGCCAGTGCTAAGGAGGACGTAGCTGCCAGGAATTCCACC